CATATAATACGCAGTTTTCGCGTGCATATGATACGAAATTTGTTGGCGTGCATATGATACGCAGTTTTCGCGTACATATGATACGCATCTACCCCACAACCCTAAACCTACCCATCGCGTAGCATATACACGCCAAAGTCAATTTTTGCGTATCAATACCACGAGCTTTCGTTTTTATTTGGCGTACTATTTATAAGCATTTTCATGAGACCGGGCTCCCTCAGTTTGCCGCATTGTTGATTATTCGTTGTAGCTATTAGACTTGAGAGAAAAATATCAGAAAAGTGTATTAGTCCTATATTGATTCTGTAAACCCTGTACAATGTGCTTTTTTTTAGCGCAGAGGTAGCGCAGGCATTTGACGCGGAGTGATAATGGTTTGAATATTCATGATCGTAACTTCCACTTTCTATTACTGTGAATGCGCAGCTAAGGGAAAGAACGGGACAAAATGGTATGGTGGGGTGGGGGGCCTTGGAGATAATTGGCCCCGGGGCCTTTGCAAGTCATAATCCGTCCCTGATCTTGACGTCCATTTTTACAGTAGCTTAAAGTGCAAAACTGCAAAATCTACTTGCCTTACCAACCTGATTGTGTAACTGCTGTTTTTATGGTAGACACGTAACTTGCAAATATGTTTGTTCTCTCTTGTCTTACAAACATCCACTCTGCTTTTCTTGGAATTCAAACACTAAACCTCAGGAAACAATATTCCAAAGTAGCCAACACACTTTAGTGTGCACTTACAGAATCCAACATATTTTAACATATACATTTTAATATACAGTCACACATACTCAAATCTACATATATTTGAACATTATCTTCATATTGATTCTGATGACAGTTTATTAGATACAAACAAAAATCACTGTTAGCCACACAAATCACTCTCTATGGGAAACCAGTTTAAACAAACATTATCCATTCTATTTATTATATCTGACTTTTAATATAGGCTAGGCCTACATATAAATTTTTCTTAAATCTCTAATATCAAATCACTGATTCTGCATGCCTTGTATGCAATGTGAAAAGTTTCTCTAACTAATTTCCACAGTGTGCTGTATAGAGTTTCCTCGGGGCACTTGTTTACTCAGAAATGTCCTTGAAGAAGAACTGCACTTAACCAACTGGAGATACTGTAGCTTATAGCCCTCAAAATCCTACAGAAACCCAGACGCTGTACAAACTCTGGGTACACAGACATGGGTTATGAATCTGTGGGTCTCCAGCTGGTTTCTTTAAAAAAAAATTCAAAATTCCCCTTTCTCCGTCAAAATCTCCAAGGCGAAAAGGAAGCCTGCCAACCACAAATACATAAAATGCCATGAAATCAGAGGGCACCCACAAAGAAAAATAATCCTCATTTATACCTCTTCGACAACTGCAGTAACTATAGGTCTCACACGGAACAGCAATTTCTGTACCCTTAAATAAACAACTATTAGTCTCAAACGGGAACAGAGTGTTGCTCTGGATGGGTTAATGGTTATTTGGTTGGTAAGCATGATACCTCGACTCCTGGCCCCTGTAATCAATAGGCTGTTGCAACAACATTCAGCTTGTAGGCTAGTCCTATAAGTACATGAAGGCACGGCACTGATGTTTAATATTAATATGTGCAGAGACTGTAGCCATGAATAGTTTGCTTTTTTGTTTATTCACTATACTATCAGTGTTGCTGAGCCATACTTCCAACTACAGCCCAGACAGAACAGACAGTGGGGGACATGTCACTGATCACTGTTTCTCTCCACACCAGTCATTTTAGAATGGACTCCAAGATTATAAATTATTCTTTTTTATTATTATTTAATAATTTGCATCATACATAATGTATTCAATAAATATACCAGTAGCCTACTACTGCACATATTAACTAGATGTGCATTTTTGTAATGTGTGCCTTGTCGTCGGAGAACAGGCTCCCCCTGTTGAAAATAAATACATAACTTTAATAACTTAAATTCCACTTGTATTTCAAGAATTTTATTTAATTACGCCATTTAATTTACCAAGACCCTGCTGGGTTAGCTAAGCATGACTTTCTTGCATAAGCACTTTTATTTAATGACATTCTTAACATAACACATTAAAATGTTACGAATAAAATATTTATTCTAAAATATCTGTTCTGAAATTGAAGCAGGACACAGGACTAAAATAAATACAAAGCCAAGGCGCTGGCACTGTAGTCCTTTTGAGGATTTGTTTGCCAAAGCTGCAGCCCGCCTGTCATCTCCTGTGATGTCAGCGGCATATGAACAATGATAGAAGCCCGCAGCAGCCCCAGTTAGCCGTCATCTGTCCGCGTACACTTCTTATCTTTCCTTCTTACCTGCATAAGTTAGTCTTTCGATTCGCAGAGTTTCTACATCGTGGACACGATGTTTTTCTACGGGAGTTGCAGCTTGCTCCTGGCACTGGTGACTTTTCACGGCGCCACTCGCTCGGAAATGGTGTTCAGTTGTCCGAGCTGCACTGCGGAGCTCCAGGCGGGTTGCCCGATTCTCACGGAGATGTGTGCTGAGATTGTTCGCGAGCCGGGCTGCGGCTGCTGTCCAGTGTGTGCCCGGCAAGAGGGCGAGCTGTGCGGCGTTTACACACCGAGATGCTCCAGTGGTCTGCGGTGTTATCCCAAGCCGGATTCGGAGCTGCCCCTGGAGCAGCTGGTTCAAGGTTTCGGGAGATGTGGACGTAAAGTGGATACTGAGCCCACAGGAAGCGCAGAGCCTCGGGAAGTCAGCGGTAAGTGATTTAAAGGGTTTATATAGGCTAAGTGATTTAAATGTATGATTTGTAGCAGTAGCTAATCTACCTATAAGTGAGCTATAAATATGAGATTTTAATAATTTTCCTCTTCCTGTAGCCTAGCTTACATAATGATAACAAATCTGATGATTTATTAGGCTTAAAGCTGTTCCGTTAAAATTTTAGAGGGTGCTGTGTTTAATAATTTTTTTTATTCCTTATGAACAATTGATGAAAAACGCATTTCATGTAATAGTGACAGAAGGCATTACCTTAGATGTTTTTTAATAACACGTATGAAAAAAGAGTACAAATATTTAATTAATAAAACATAATTTGTCCTTGACAAACTGAATGAAATAGTATACATAGCCTACATTCATACATATATATTTATATATATATATA